GCAAATCGACTGAATAGCAGAACGACCAGTCACTATGACATGCACTGATCACCAGGGGGCAGATGCTCAATGCAGGTGCTGCCCCCTGGTGGTCAGTGCATTTCCACAGGGGAAGTGCTGCTCAGCCAGAAGCTGGGCTCGAAACTGGCGAGCACAGCAGCAGTGGCGGGAGCCTCTCCTGCCTCTGCAGCAGCGCTAAGGATGTCTGACTCCTGGCTTAGGCCCGCTCCCCAGCTCCCAGACTGCGAGAGGGCACAGGCGGGGCTGAGGGACCGCGCCCCGCCCCCCCACCCCCAGTGCATGAATTTCGTGCACTGGGCCTCTAGTTAGTTAATAAGTATTTGGAGAGTGATACTTGAGACTAAGCACATCCTGTTTCTCTTCAACACATGCTTAGTCTTAATTTTAGTAGTCTTTGAGTGTATATCATTTGCAACAATTATTAGCTGGTATTTGTCTAAAGATCGCTTTCATTTTCTTCTACAGTGTTAATTGTATGGAAGAGCTGTGCTTTCTCCCCCATTTATTTATTTATCCAATTATTTATTTACATCAGTGTGGCGTAGTCCTGCTTTTAATCCCTATTAAATCTTGCTATCTTGGTAAGTAGGCATTGCTACTACGATTTAGAAATGAGGAAATGAGGAACCATGGCCAGGAGTATGTAAATCACTCGCCTATGTTCTCACAGCTAGTACATGGCTGAGGAGGGATTCAAAGTTGCTCCAGATTTAGCTTTGTCCATCTTTTCCTTGATCACTGCTGTAGCTTCTGAACTGTCTCTGCCACCACCCTCATAAAGCACATTTCTTCCACCATCAACCATCAGAGCATCAAAAAGCTTCAAATCCTTCCAAGGGCTCCTCCTGTCCTTTCGATGGAGCTCAAACTCCTTAGCCTGGGTGAAAAGGTCCTTTCAGTTCTGACTCTGGTGATTCCTCAGGCCTCATCATTCCCTGTCCTCTTCCCAGCTCCAGCTGTTCCCAAACCTCCTCCAGCCGTGTCTCGCCTCCGGACCTTTGCACGCATTGTTCTGCCTGAGAACACGCTCTCCTAACCTAGCTCCCTCTGCCTATTCCTCCATGGCTCAGGCTCAGGCATACATCACTGTAGGCATGACTTCCTGCTTCCAGGATGTGTAGTTGTCACCTGCTTTGCCTCGCCTGTTACTGCTCTGGGTCTCCACTCTCTCAGGGAGGATGAACTCCTTAAGAGCAGATATTGGATCTCTGGATCCCCAGCTCTGGACACATCAAGGTACTTAGTTAATATTTATGATGGGTTGCCTGGCCATGGTGGCTCAGTGGTTGAGCATCGACCTATGAACCCAGGAGGTCAGGATTTGATTCCAGGTCAGGACACATGCCCAGGTTGCAGGCTTGATCCCCAGTAGGGGGTGTGCAGGGAGGCAGCTGATCAATGATTCTCTCTCATTGATGTGTCTATCTCTGTCTCCCTCTCCCTTCCTTTCTGAAATCAACAAAAATAAAAAATCCTAAATAATAAAAGCGTAGTATGCAAATTGTCCCCTCAACTGGGAGTTCATCCTGGAGTTTGACCAGGGGGCGGGCCAGCTCGGGGAAGGAAGGGAGGCCCCACTAGGGACTCTACCAGTGCATGAATTTCATGCACTGGGCCTCTAATATAAATATATATCTCTTTATGATGGGTGAAAACCGCACTCCAAAGCTCTTGCTCTTTTAGCTATCCTATGTGCCTACTGTGTGCGTGAGAGTATGTTAGGGACTGTAGAGAAAGATAGGAAGCTGAGTGAAAATGAATATGCCTATAAAACTGAAAGCACCAACTGTATGCTGCAGAGGACTCAGCATAGATAGAATGCCAGCTAAGTTAGCCCCTCAGCCGTTCCATTCTATAGAAATGGAAATGGAGGCTCAGAGAGGTAAAGTGACTTGTGCAGGTCACACAGCTGATTAGTACCAAAGCCAAGATCTGAATCCTGTAGGAAGTCAGAACACATTCACTAGCCACTACACCACACAGCTTCCTTATACCCAGCTAGAGGAGCTAGTGCTGGGTCCAGATAGGGCTTCCTATGGGCCCCAAATCCAGTGGTTTTGCGTGGCTTTTCCGTATGTCATTAATTGCCCTCCAGACCTTGCCTCTATGGGTGTTTCTGTTATAGTTAAAGAGCAATAAAAAACAACATAATTGGAAGACAAAGGCGACTGCCTGGCCAGCCCGCCCTAAGGAGCGGAGTGCCGGTAATTTGGGTGTGATCCTACCTGTGACTCATGCAGAAAAATTACAGCCTTCCGTGTACAGGTGTGTACAGGCTGCTGGGTGGGGTGCGAGCAAACGTGGCATTTAATGCCGGCAGTAAAACCTGGGCCTGTGGTGGGGACCCACAGCCAGACGGCCCCTCCTCTCCCGCCCTCCCACCCCAGGGAGACATTATTAGTGCAGAGCCCCTTAAAGTTTGCAAAGTGTTCCTGCTCTGTGTTTATATGGACGCAACCCCACTGACACTGGCGAGGGGCTGGGTGCTCTGGATTGGGACACCTACAGACCAGTTCTGGGGTGGCAGACTGTCAGGACCAAGGGTCCCAGTCCTGGACATGCTGTGGCAGAGGGGCTTCAAAGAGGTGTCCCAGCATCCCAATGGACCCAGGAAGGCTTCCTGAAAGAGGTGGGGAGTGGGGAAGCATCTAGGACTCCCTTCTTCCCTGCCTATCCCTCATCTGCAGCTGGAAGGAAGTCTTCATGTTGAAATGGAGGGAGGAGAGGGACACCCCCTCGGTCCCCTGAGCACCAGGCTGCTTCTCTGGCCACCTGCCATCATATGGGCTGAAGGCCCTGGGCCCAGCCTACCCAGCCCCTGGACTCTGGGCTTCCTTAAGCTTACTGAGGTAGCTCTTCTCTCCCCAAAGCAGAGCATCCTCTTCCTCATGCAGAAAGCAGCTGGCAGAGAAGCCAGGAGCTGGGTGCAGAGCTGCTTCCTGGAAGCTCAGAGATTGAATGTGGGGGTGTAGGTGCTTGTGCCCCGAGAAGGTCCCACCTTGATCCAGAGCTGCCCGAGGGACTCCGGCCACAGTCCCCTTGCCCTGGAGGTGTTCTTTGGTCCTGAGCCCTGGGCTTTCCTGGGCTCCCGCGTGCCTGCCCTGCTTGGAACCATTAGTGATTCCAGTGCCTATCGCCCTTCCTCCCAAATTTGAGGGAGGGCCGGTTGTTATAGGTTTAGGCCTCGGAATTTAGGGATAAACAAACCACCAGCCACGTACCTGACAAACATCCATGCTTACTTACATGGCATGTTGTTTATTTTAATGTCACTATCGAAGTTTCAACGTGCAATATATTCACGTGGTTCAAAATCCAAACTGCCATCAAAAGGCTCCGGAAGTCCCATTTCCACTCATCTCCCAGCCACCCTACCCCCTGACCCCCTGTCTCGGTGTATCCAGTGTTCTTTGTGCAGATGCATGAAATGATATGTATTTGCAAACACATATGCTATTCCACTCCTCATGTTTTCACCTAGTGATACATGCAGGAGGCTCTTGCATATCCCCCCTCTCCTCCTCCTTCTCCCCCAACAGCTGCATAGTATTCCATTGTGTGGAGGTACCATCGTTTATTTCACCAGTCCTCTCGGATGGACACTGGGGTGGCTGCCAGGTCTTGCTATTACACACAGCTGCGATGCAGAAGCTTGTACATCCCTCATGTGCTCAAGATGTATCTGTTGAGTAAATTCCCAGAAGTGGGATTGTTGGGCCACAGGGTAAATGCGTCTGTAATTGTGATAAGAAATGACTAAATCATCTTTCATCAGGGGTTGCACTTTTTTCATTCCCACCAGCCACATATGAGAGTGCCTGTTTGCCAACACAGCAGCCTCACCAGCAGGCTGTGTTGTCATACTTTTGGGTTGTTGCCTATCTGATAGGTAAGAAATGGTATCCTGGTATCGTTTTAATTCGTATAAGTCTTCATGTGAATGAGGGGGAATACCTTTTAATATGCTTAAGGGCCACCTAGATTTCTTTCTCCTCCGAATGTTCTGTTCAAATCCTTTGTCCACCTGTCTGTTGGGTTGTTCATCTTTTTCTTCTTGTTTCCTAGGAACCCTTCACCTTTTAGGGAGATTGGCCCCTTGGCTGTGATGTGAGTGGCAAACATTTTTCTCCCTGTTTGTCTTTTGAATGTGTTTGTGGTGTCCTTTATCATGGAGAAGTTTGCTGTTGTCAGTATTATTCACTTAATCATTATCTTTTCTTTCTGGTTTCTGGATTTTGAGTCATTAGTGGAAGACTTTTCCCACCCTACACTTATGCAGGGATTCCCTCATGGTTTCCTCTGATTCTCTGACGGTTTTAATTTCTACATCTAAGTTTTGGGTCCATTTGGAGTTTGGTGTCCTGGCCTCCAGCTTTACTGGTCTCCGGATGGTTGCCTAGTTCTGCCAGAACCATTCATTAACACTCTCATCTTGGGAGCATTTGAGATCTTGCTTCCTGGCATATGTCATCGGTGTGGCTCAAATAAGCTCATAAAAATTAACCCCTCCTGAACTTGCATCTTTACATCCCTAAGAGGCCACCACTATCAACACTAAATTACAGTGTTTTGGGATGCGTTTCTGGGCTTTCTTTCTGTTCCATTGATCTGTCTACTCACAAGTGTGATAAGTAATTAGAAAAAAATGTCATTTCAAGATAAAACTCTAAGTATCCAAGCATCTGAGCTTGCCCCCATCTTCATGACCCCACCCCCTGCCAGCCCTCTCTCCACTCCTCAGGGTGACATCACTGTCTGCCATCAGGAGAACTGCAGCCCAAGAGTCCCTAATGTTTATTAGCTGAGTGGTCCCCTCCTCCAGGAAGTGTTCCTAGCCACCTCCTTGCCCTGGGCAGTTAGTAACTTGCTCAGCAAGCACCCTGACCTCCCTCCTCTCACTGCAGCACTTACTACATCTATTGGGCTGCATCGTAATCGCCTGTTTACTTGTCCTGGGCTCGATTCCTGGTCATGAATCAGTCAACATGCTTCTTACTCATTTATAGGGCAATAATATGGCTGCAGCCTGCAGTCTTGCGTGCAAAGTGTTTGATTCTTGTAAAGTGTCAATCAATCCAAGACATTTTCTAGTTCCCTTTAGGGGCTCAGTGCTGGATTTGTCTCCTCCTTCCCATTGCCCCCACCCCTCAGCCTTGCTGCCCCCTCCCATGGCTCCATGAGGACCCCCAGATGGGCCTTCTCACCCTTGGGGAGAGGGCTTTGCAAAGGCGGGGAGGGCCCGGACCTTCACTTTTCCTGGATCCTTGTCCGGGAGAGCCATCATGTCTTCCTGGATGCCTCGCTGCAGCCCACCAGGCCTTCCCAGGGTTCCATGGGCTCAGATGACACATCCCCAACCCCCCAACCCCAGGCCTTGGCAGCTTCATGGCCAACAAGTCATAGAGGGCTGCTGTGCTGTTGCTCCTGAGACAGAGAGGATGCAGGTGAGGGTCTCACCTCGTTGGAGAAGCCCCTTCATTCAGAGGAGGAAGCTGAGGTGAGTTGTGGAGGGACAGGGAGATACTAGAACTAGGCCGTGGAGAGGCTTTGGCAATGCCCCCCACTTCCCACCCCTGTCACCCAGGCCTTCTTGGGTCACCCTGACTTCCCGTGGGAAAGCATGACCAGAATGGCCAGGGCTGGACCGGCAGCAGGGCCAGAGACCAGCTGGAGCTTGTTCTGAGCAGGTGACATGAAACTGGGGAGAGAGGAGGGGGCAGGAACTGGGCACAGCATCTGGTACAGAGGCCAGAGCATGCTCTTCCAGGCCCCTCCTCCACGACCCCCACCTGCGACCCGACATCCTCCTCTGAAAAATGGAGACAGCAACCCCGACCTGCACTTCCTACCTCAAAGCATTATGTATTGAGTGAGAACCTTTGGGGGGCTGTTCCCTAAGAACATCCTTCCCCACACCTACCTCTCCTCCCAGAACCCTCTCTTTCTACCCGGCAATCTAGCCCTCCCCAGGGGTGGAGAGCCGGGGTTCCCTCCTTTCTGGTGCTGCAGGAGTTGGCCAGGGGCCGAGGAGGCCCCCTAGAGTGGGGGCGGCTGCCTGTGGTCCTTGAGCATGAAGATGGTATTTCCAGCCCCGATTTCGTCCCCTCTCCCGCACAGCTGTGGATGTCACCCTACCTAACTAGTTACCCAAGAGGAAAACACGCCTTGCCTCAAGGAGCATCTCAGAGGTCAGCCCTGCAGGAGGAAAGGCTATTCCTCCATCAAATCTGACTTCGACTCTGAGCCTTGCAGAAGAGTTCCTCTCCCCCGCTCCCTTTGCAACGCCCCCCCCCCCCCCCCCCCGTGAAAAGCCAGTGTATGTCTTACTTCTCGGCCTTGCCGTTCCACAGGTGGTGCGATTTGCTCATCTAGATCCAGAGCCAGAGACGGGGAGGTAGACAGCCTGCCCCCGGTCCTGAGCCTGTGACCCAGGCAGTGAAACAGTGATCTGAAGCCCTTCAGAGCTGGGTTTGCCCCTGGTTCTGCTGCTTTAAGGAGCTTCGTGACCTTGGGCAAGTTACTCAGCCTCTCTGAGTCCCAGCCCCTCTGCCACCTCCCTGCCCAGGCTGTTGTGAAGATGAAGCGAGACAGTGGGTGTGAAGTGCTTGGCTTCCGTCTGCCCCACAGTAACTGCTCAATAAACGGACCTCTCCTGTCTCCAGAACGGAAACCCCAGTCTCTGCTCTGTCCCCACTCGCCTACATCCCCTTTCAGCTCCAGGACAACAGCTGTCCCCTCTCCCCATGCCCCCACCCCCACCCGATTAGAGCCAGATCATAAAATCTCCAGGGGTGGGAGGCTGGTGACATCTTTAGTGGCGACATTTGGGTGAAAAATTCATGACCATCAGTTACTCGAGGAAGAGGGGGGAAAATGAGCCATTTCCGCAGCTCAGGAGCGCGGCTCTCCCTGGCTGCGAGTCCACAAATCTATTTTATGTGACGAGATCTATAGTCTAATAGAAGGAGCTTATCACTGACTTAAGAAAAAGTGCACAATAATGCACCGCTCTTTCCCCACCTCTCAGCCTGCAAGGCGCCCTTCTGGAAAATAAGGGCGATGGCGCCTCCAGGAGCCACGGAGAGTTCACGGGCCAGGGCCAGCAGAGTCCCAGGGGGTGGCAGCCCCGGGTGGTCCCGGGGGGAGACCTGGGTGGCACCTCGCCCTGCCTTTGTTTGGCATCTCCCAAGGCTGCTCCCCAACCCCCAACCCTCATCACCACAGTTGAGGGGTTCCCAGCAAACTTGTTACCCTGTTCCCACCAGGCCTGGAGTCGGTCCTGCAATGCCAGCTTGTCTGTCGACACAAAGGAGCGATGGAAGTTTCCCCTTTCCCTGCCTCTCATGCTGGGGAGGGAGGTCCAGGCTGAGGTAGGACGAGGGGGCAAGGTGGGTGTCTCAAATCCTCTTCAAGTGCTTTGGTCCCAGGTCCCGGGGCTGGGACAGCTCTGAAGAGTAACAGGCTCTGTGCACACTGAAGTGGCAGCCATTCTCAGGAAGCCTCGCCACGGTGCATGCGAAGCTGATGCTCTGTGTTCAGGGAGGCCCAGGGCTGCCTGAGCAGGCGAGGGAGGTGCCTGCAGGGAGCAGGACTAGTGATTCTAGGGCCCAACTTGGAAGCTTGCTTCAGGGTGCAGTCCTAGGACAGACCCCGGCACTGGAGGTACACCGCAACTCGTATCTCAGACCTCAGACGGCAGTGCTGCCCCCACTGGTCTCATCAATCCACCTCTGAGCTCAACCTTCTGGTGGTCCCATTGGAGCCTCAGGCCAATCATGTGCTGCACAAATGAATGACTGAGTGAGTGAAGGAATGAATGGCTTGGGCAGGAAGAGCCTAGCTTGGTCCCAAGCCTTGTCCCCCTGAGATGTCAGAGCACACGGAGAACTGGAGGACAGGCCTGCCCTGGGTTTGTTTGCGTGAGCAGCCTGGAGCTTCCTGGGAATAAAGTCATCTGGGCCTATAGACACACACCTTTGGGGGAGGACGATGGCTCAGTACTGGGAGGGAGGGTCATGTTACATGTGTTTGTCTGTTTGCTTAGTCATATCTACCTTGCCCAGAAAAGGATTTCACCAGGCAAACAGAAATGGTATAGACGCTAGCATAAAAGACAAAGAAGAAAATGAACACAAAGGAAAAATAAGAAGATCCCCGGGGTGGGGTGAGGGGCAGGGAAAGGAAGTGAGAGGCAGAAGGTTGTGGGGCTGGTTGGAATCTCAGGCCCACAAAGTTCTGTGGTCCATTTCCTCATCGCTAAAGTGGGGGTAACATAGAAACTTGGGCTGTTGTGAAGATTAAACAAGATGAAACCTGTAAAGCAGTTCACATAGTGATTGATAAGAAGCACTCAATACATAACCAATAATCAATCAATCAATAATCAAACAATAACATTGTGATTATTGCATTCCCCATGGGCCAGTTGCTGAGCCTGACCATTGGACTCCTAGGGTCATAGGAGGCCAAGCAAAGAAGGAAACTTGATCAGTCATCACATCCATCGGTCCCAGCAGCTACCAGGGAGAGGACATTCCTTCCAGGGGCTGAGGCCTGTGAAAAGGTTCTTCTGTGCATTCCCATGGGCAGGCACCAGGGCAGGTGGAGGGTGGTATTCCAGACAACATTCCCATCACAGGGGACATTGGCAGTTCCCTGCCCAGTGCAGCCCAGGGAAGGCATTCTGTGAGGGCCTAACCCCATGGTCCACTGCCCTTGGCTGGTAACATTTGGAATCCTGGAGCAGCGAGGGGCTGCCTCGTTCATGGGCAAGGGGTCTGGGCCTGTTGCTTGGCTGTGCCCAGGAGCCCAGGGATCAGTGCACAAGGCAGGGGAGGGCTGTGGTGAACAGCAGCACAGACTCTGAGACCTGCTTCTCCAGGGCTTTGGGACACAAAGGGTGAGGTCCTTCCTTGAAGCACACCCAGATCAGTGCCACCCTTGTCTTCCCCTCAGCCACCCTGGCTTGAGCCCCACAGAGTATAACCTTGGCTGCATACCTTGGTTTCCCATGAAGGCTGGTTGCCACCCTCCCAGGCCATCTGCCCATGCTGCCCCCTCTAGCCTTACCTGGCCTGGCCCTTTGTCTTGCCCTCTTACCCTAAGCCTCACCAAACTCTAGCTCCTACATTCCTCCCAAGGTTTCTCTAACTCTTGCTTTCCCCTGGGCCTTTGCACATACTGTTCTCTTTGCCAAAACCCCCTTCGCCTGCACCCTCTGCTCTGGTGAACTCTCCAAGCATCAGCCCAGAGGTTATTTCCTCTAAGAAGCCTTCCCTAAACCCCAGATTGAGTCAGGCTTCTCTCCTGTGCCCCCAAACCTTTCTTCCTGCTTCATAAGCGCACATATGGCTCCAGGCTAAAATTGCTGCTATCCTTTCCAGCACCATTTTACATTCCACAGGGGCAGTCGCTTTGTCTCACCTGGGCTCCAGGGTGTCCCTGGTGCCCAGCACAGGGCCTGACACATAGGTGTTGTTGAATGAATGAAAGATTGAGTCATTCATTGAGATGGCCGCTTGGCCCAGTCTGTCCGAGGTGCAGGCAGAGGCCATGGTGTCTTCGGCGCCTCAGCATCCCAGTCACTGGTTTGGCAGAGGCATCCTTGCCATAATGACCTGCAGCAGTAGAGGGAGAGGGCAGCAGTCACGTGGGGAAGAAGATGATCCCTCTGTCTGGGGGCCCCTGGGAACCAGAGTATCCATGGAGTGAATAAGGGTGAAGCGGATGAGGGTGGCACTCAGGATGTACTGTTTGGGGGTTATTATTGTAACCTCCAGTTTTTTAGTATTGGCAGCTTAGAGTAACCTCTAAACCTGGGTTCCCGGAGGAAGGGAAGATCAGACTTCAGTAGAAACCAAAGACATAGCAGCTGGAAGATCCAGGGAAGGTCCAGGAAGAGGGGGCAGCTGGCTGGATGCACCTCAGCTAGAGCTGCTCTGATCTCACCCGTTTTCCATACGGGGGCCTGCCTCTGACCTCACTTGTAAAGCGAGTTTGAATGTTGAAACAGCTAAAAGCCACTAATGAGTCCAGAGCAGGCAGTTACTGGCTTTCTCCCGAAGACCTCCCTGCCAGCCACTTGCTTGGGGATGTGAGCAGTGCTAGTCAACATCCATCCATTGCACAGGGAAGGAGCAGCCACTAGGTGAAGTTACACTTGGGTGTGAGAGGCAGCCACAGCGCCTGTGCTAACTGGGGATATGTGTGGTCCACCACCGTCCCATCCCCAGGGCCTCTGCAGTCAGAGCCACAGCGTGGGCGGCAGGGCCAATGTGACATGGGCAGTGTGTGAGTGTGCAGGCGCAACAGGGCTTGGGCACAGCTGTCCTTTAATAAACGCTGCTAAATGAGAGAGGGGACAGACGCGGGCTGAAAGGTTGGCTGGACATTCTTTAAAGGGAGTGTTATTGGTGCTCAGTGCAGGCAGCAATTCCGACTTCTGGGTAGTGCTAAGGAGGGTGTCGATCTCAAGGAACAAAAGGCAGATCATAACCAGGGTACCAGCTCTTAGTGTACCTGAATGCCTGCATTAAAATAGAAGTGTTTGAAAGCCATCACTCTCCTTAAGTAGGTTAGGCATCTCTATTGCGATCCTGCTTATAGCTTAGCAAAGCCTTTTTTTCCCCTTAGAGTGTTCGAAGGCCAGCTTTAGCTGAGCCCATGTCCAAATTAGGTCAACTCCAAGCTGGTGCTGCCCGAATCCCTGACAGCCTGCCTGCCCACCTTTCTGATAGATCAGCTCTGCAATTGCCCGGGGCAGTGGGAACAGTTCTCCTTGGTTTGGGCTTGCTGCTGTGTCCCCCTGCTTTGGACCTCAGAAACCAGCCACCCTTGTTGATGGTCCCCATGAGGCCCAGAAATGACTCTGTTAAAATATTACCTCCTCCAGGGACACTTCGGGACCAGACATGCTTGAGGCAGATGTCAAGTGTGGTGGGAGTGGGGGGGTCAGGGGGGAGGGAGACAGCGTGTTTTCCCATCCCTGTGCAAGGGAAAGAAGAAATCAAGCAAGTGGAAGAACAGATGTTGCTGCCTCCTGCGCGGCCCGGTGGGCTGCAGGGGTAGCAGAGGGGCCAGGCCCGCTGTCGGGAGGTGCTGGCTTGCTTCCTGGGCTGTCCCGTCCTGTTGGGGAGGAGGAATGTGCTGTCCCCCCAGCCCCTGAAGGTAAGTGATTAACACTGGAGAGAGAGAAAGAGAGAGAGAGAGAGAGAGAGAGAGAGAGAGAGAGAGAGAGAGAGAGAGAGGAAGGAAGGAAGAAGAGAGGGAGGAAGCAGTAGGGTTTGCTGCCTTTCATGGTGTAAATTCTCCTGCCAAGGCCAGATGTACACAATTTCTCTCTAGAGCAGTGCGAGCTGCCTCCAGCACACGACTCTCTGAGCCCAGCCACCCAAGCCTGTTGTTTGTTGTACTGAGGAAGCAAGCTCAAAGCAGAGCCCAGGGCTACCACAGAGGCAGGAGCAAGCAGGAGCCGAACGTGAGCCTAGGCTTCCAATCCCAGCCCAGGGCCGGCTCCACGATGCTGTCTCAGAGGAACTTTCCAGAATATCCCCAGGGCACAATGACTCTCAGCCTGAGACCCTGAGAGGATGGGTGCTAGTGGGCTCCTGGGAGCTGCCTGGGCTGGCCTGGCCCTAGGTGTTCAGG